TTTCACTCTTCTTCTCTTTGCCTGTGTGAGTTCATTGCTAATCGGCTCTCGTTTTACTTCCTGTCTTGTCCTGAAGGATCGTTTCTGTGCTCACCTCCCTTTGTTCTTTTCATGCCTGCATTAGTGTCTGATTGAATTGACCTGTTCTCTTTGTTCTTTATTATTTAGTCCATAAATGACTCTCCCTCATTTTCTTCTGCTGACTCACATTTTTTAAAAATTATTTAGCGTAAGTAAGTTCATTGGCTCTTCCTGTCACAGTGTGACGTGGTGTTTAATTAACTGTGAGGCTAATTATAGTTCCTTGTTTTTCTACCCATCTGCTGGCTCCTGTTGTCTGCACATTAGTTGCTCTCATCTGTGACAGTCGAGGCTTCTTCCTTCATGTCACTCCTCATTCATTTCCCTCCAATCTTGGTGCTAAAGTTATCAAATTATAGCAAAAAAATCCTTTACAGCATTAAAGGATCAAACATGCTTCAAGGGTCAGTAAGAAGTAAAAGTAGGCAGCGACGGATAGTTCTAACGGTGAATGAGTGATATGAAGCGGTGCAGCGTTCATCGTTTCAACAAAGACAATAGCACAACTAATGAATGAAACACATTTACAGACCAGGCTTCCCTGCTGTGACCTAGTTTCCTTTTATAGAATCTCCCATCAAGAACACGCACACCCCAAATCACACTCACAAAAACACTGTTGAGGCCTGTTAGAAGTCTGCTGGAGCTCATTAAGATAAGATTAGAGCAGCATCGCACAGCACAGCGTGTCTATTATGAGTTGTCACTGTGTGTGAGTGTCTATTGTGTGCACTGTGATGGGCTCCAGATTTCATCACCTGCATATGAGATCAGCTTTTTTGTGTTTTTTGCACACATGGTTGCTTCAAACAGCAGGTACACACAAGCACACATCCATGAAAATACCCGACAGCAAACACCTCCTGCTGTGTGATACAGTCCAAGAATTTAGTTTTGTTGAATGAAATTTTATTCTTCAATTAGAATTTTTACTTAACACTACTTAGCGTGCATGCATGTCTGCTAGCATTAGCTAACAACGTAGCACTCCTACTTCATGTCCCAAAAAAGTGAAAGAAAGAAAAAGAAAAAGTTTTGATAAACAAACATTAATGTCGAGACTTCAAATGAGTCTAAAACCAATAACGTTGTTGGAAGTCCCCTTCTCCCCCATCCTGGGAAATCTGGATCAGAGATGCTTTGCATTTTAGCAAACTCGAAAAGATTAAATTCACCCTGC